AATAGGCCTGCCTATAGGACCAACTCCCAAGAAACATAAGAGATAAAGACTCGAGTTGAAAACTTGATAAAGAAGGGATGGGTTCAAAAGAGCCTAAGCCCTTGTTTTGTGCTTGTTCTTCTAGTTCCAAAGAAGGATGGAACTAGGAGAATGTGGACAGTTCGTAGAGCTAATAATAATATAACCGTAAAATATAGGCATCCAATCCCTACACTAGATGATATGTTGGATGATTTTCATGGAGCACTCATATTTTCTTAGATTGATCTTAAAAAATGGTTATCATCAAATAAGGATTAAAGAAGAAGATGAATGGAAAACTGCTTGTAAGACCAAGTTTGGATTGTATAAATGGTTAGTCATGTCTTTTGGCTTGATCAATGCTCCTAGCACCTTTATGAGGATAATGAACCATGTCTTAAAGGATTGTATAGGAAGGTTTGTAGTTATTTATTTTGATGATATCCTTATTTATAGAAAAAGCCTTAAAGAACACATAAGACACCTTAGAAATGTCTTTCCCATTCTAAAGGACAACCATCTCTATGCTAACTTAGAGAAATGTACCTTTTTCCAAGAAAATGTAAAATTTCTAAGATTTATAGTTGGAAAAGAAGGAGTCAATGTTGACCTCAAAAAGGTTAAGGCCATCCAATAATGGTCTTCCCCTAAGAATGTGGGAGACATAAGGAGTTTCATGGCTTAGCAAGTTTCTATAGGAGGTTTGTTAAGGACTTCTCCACCATTGCATCTCCTTTTAATGAGTTGGTCAAGAAGGATGTGCCTTTTATATGGGGGAGAAGCAAGACAAGTCTTATCTTAACTTAAAAGACCAACTCACCAATGAACCCGTTCTAGCTCTTCCAAAATTTTCCCAAACTTTTGAGCTAGAATGTGATGCAAGTAGTATAAGTATAGGTGTGATTTTACTTCAAGGTGACCATCCTATTGCATATTTTAGTGAAAAATAAGTGGTCCCACCTTGAATAATCCCACCTATGATAAAGAGCTTTATGCTCTCATTAGGGCCCTCAAAACTTGGGAACATTACTTAGTGACTAAGGATTTTATTATACACACTAATCATTAGTCACTTAAGAATTTGATGGGCCAAGGTAAATTAAATAAAAGACATACTAAGTGGGTCGAATATTTAGAATAATTCCCATATGTTATTAAATAAAAGAAGGGAAAAAGTAATGTGGTAGCTGATGAACTTTCAAGAAGATACACATTACTTCTTTAAGTTCCCAAATTCTTGGATTTGATAACATTAAGGAATTGTATAAACAAGACCTAGATTTTCAATCCACTTATGCAAAATGTCTTAAGAAAGCCTTTGATGGAATATTTGTGATGGGTATCTATTTAAGATGAGTAAGGTATGCATACCCAAAGGATCCATCAAAAAGATTTTAATTAAAGAAAGTCATGAGTGAGGTCTCATGGGCCACTTTGGAGTTGATAAAACTCTTAAGTTTTATAAAAGAAAGATTTTATTGGCCACACATGAGAGTAGATGTCCAAAGGTATTGCTTTAAATGCATAGCTTGTTTACAAGCTAAATCTAAAGTTATGCCTCATGAACTCTACACACCTCTACCAATAGCTAGCAGCCCTTGGGTTGACATAAGCATGGATTTTGTACTTGGTCTCCCAAGAACCCAAAGGGGACATGATTATATCTTTGTGGTAGTGGATAGATTTTCAAAGATGGCTCACTTTATTCCATGCCACAAGATAAATGATGATAGCCATATCTCAAGAATCTTCTTTAATGAAGTTGTTAGGCTAAATGGTATCCCTAAAATAATAGTTTCAGATAGGGATGTTAAGTTGCTTAGTCATTTTTGGAAAACACTTTGGGAAATACTAGGAACTCAACTTCTATTTTCTACTACTTGTTACCCACAAATAGATGGGAAAACAAAAGTAGTAAATAAATCCTTATCTACACTAGTAAGGGTAATCTTGAAAAACAACAAGAAGTCTTAGGATGAACATTTTCCTCATATAGAATTTGCATATAATAGGGTAGTCCACAAGACTACCAATCATTCTCCTTTTGAGGTTATTTATGGATTTAACCTTCTCACTCCTTTTGATATACTTCTATTGCCTAGTACTTGTTCTTATTCACATAAAGAAGGAGTATCTAAGACATATTTTATAAAGAAAACCTATGAGAAGGTTAAAAGCCAAATTGAAAAACAAACTCAAAAATACATTGAACACAACAATAAAGGGAGAAAGAAACTTATATTTGAGAAAGGACACTTAGTTTGGCTTCATTTAAGAAAAGATAGATTTCCTACACAAAGGAAGTTCAAACTAAGTCCAAGAGGAGATGGTCCATTCCAAGTCCTCCAAAGGATCAATGATAATGCATATAAGTTGGATTTACCTTCTAATTATGGTCTTAGTAATACATTTAATGTTTGTGATCTTATGCTTTATGCAGGTGATGCTAGCACTAATGATGAGGAGGTAGATCTAAAGATAAATCCTTCTCAAGAAGGAGTGTATGATGGAGAACCATCAAAGAAAAGTTCACACTTGAAGACCATTGGGCCTTTAACTAGGTCCATGGTTAGTGATCGAAGCCGTATCCGGTCAAATAAATGCAATTAAATGTAGTACTAGGAAGTGACTCCTAGGTCGTCTCCCAAGGACCGTCTTTTACTGTTAAAGGCTTAAACACATGAAGTGGGGGGTTTGGTTCAGATTTTCAGTGTATACACAATAAAACGAAATAAAACAGCAAGTAAAACAGATTGGTTCCCTGCTCAGATTGCAACTCTTTTATCCCTGGCTCTCAAAAGATTTCTCTGTTCATAACATAATCCTTGTTCCATCCGAGTTAACCAACTAAGCGAAGATTAACTCAAGATTTCCTTACACAAATTAAGCAAATTTAAGTAAACGTATACAACATTAAACCTCCCCACAAGATTAAGCAACTTGTGAGCAACCTGATTCATTAAGCATGAACAGGTGTCAAAAACGTTTCAGAGGTTTAATGAAGAAGAACCAAGCAGAACACAGATACAAATATAAATAAACCTCAATCAGACATTGCAATCTGCTCAAGGAGCCAACCCCTGGGTTTTTAGCCTTCCATTAAAACAGAAACAGAAACGAACACAGAAACGAAAATACAAACAGAAAATAAAACGTAAACAGAAACGAAAATGCAATGAAGGAAAACAAAACGAAAATGGACAATCTGTATTTCAATCTGTATTCTTCAATGATTCTGATACAAAACGTAACACATAAGACAAGAAGAGAAGAAAAACATAAAACTCAGCTGAGAGCAAGAAAAACGGGAATAACAATGGAGTTTTTTTTAGCAGACAAGGAAAAACAAAACGTCCAGAACCTAAAGAGACCAAAACGTCCTAGAATAGGGAAGCCAAAAAAACGTCCAGGAACCAAGAATGAGAGAGGAGCTACATAGTCACATCAGCCTCTCATGTTAGTGGCTGCCAAGTCAGGCCTACCCTATACCTAAATGACCTAAAACGAAATTGGGCCCCTCCACCATACAAGTCTGACCCAATTACAATAAAATAGACTAAAAACTGAAAATAAATGCTGAGGTGGAAAATGGTGCAGTGGTGACATGGCAGATGACGTGGCAGCTCCTCTTGAAGTCCAACAATTAATTCCAAGCCCAAATAATTATTAAACTGTCCTGAAAATAAAATTTGGAATAATTAGATTCAAAAAATTCAAATTAGTTAAAATATGAATTACCGGTCCAATTAAAGCCCAAATAGAAAACAATGCAGAATATAAACAATTAAGCACAAATCAGAGATTAAAATAAGTACAGAAAGGTAAGAAAATAAGGAAAAATATTGACTCATCAGTTAGGAAGCTAGAGGAGGCTTCTACAGAGGAGGTGCTTCTTAAATCTATGCTCTTCATGAGCATTAAGTATGATTCCTCTTATTAGTCCCTTAGTTTCCATTGTATATACATTTTATAATTCTTGTACATAATAACTACTTGTATAGGTATATTTTGCCTTTTAGTCTTTGAAACTTTTATCCATGAATAAAAAAAATTATTAAAAACCAAAATGTTGATGGAAAAAAATTCAATAACTATAAGTGAAGATTGGCAAATCCTAAATCCTAAAAAATATTGTTTACGACTAAAACCAAAAATCCAGAAAAAGTTTAAGGATTAGAAACATATACAATCCTAAAAGTCGAGAAAAAATATTCTATGTAAAACTTAAATTCTTTTATTTTGGTTTTTTACTCTAATTGGTTGTAAGTATAGAATTTCAGAGCATCTTTGATAATGATTTTTATAAGAAACTTATTAAATTTCTTATTTTACTTTTAATGGAAACCATCATGTCATACCATTCTTAAGTAACACATATTACTTGCTTTTACAAAATTTGTTCCAATAGTGAGATCTTATAAATAATTTGCACTTTTATAATTTTTTTTATTTACACTTCCTTTTTTGACAAATTAAAAAATTTATGTAACAATTATAATTATATATTAATTAAACATACTAAATAATATTTAAGTATATAATAAATTAATAATAAAATTTACACAATTAATTAAAAAAGAATAAAAAAATATTAATTCTTAAAAATAAATAAATTACATAACCATGAATAATACATAACAATGATAAATGACTAATTTTAAATTCATGAATGATAAAAAATTGATGATGCATGATTTTTTATTATTTAATTTTGAGCATAATTGATGTTCTTTGGTGTTCTTTAATAACATAAAAACTAAAAAAAAAATTATTATTTTTAATTCATAAACAACATTACTCATTTAGAACTTATTATTTATTTTTAAATAATTTTTTTATGACATACACTCTTATAGAAATTATTAATAAACACAATTTCTTAATAAGATATATAATAACTTTACTTTCCATTGGTGGTTAGATTAGAGGTGCTCTCAAATAACCTTAATATTATATATATAAAAAATGAGGAGAAAATAGGGTAGATATCATATCATATATGACAAGTATTGCGTGCTTTGGCAAGTGTGGAAAAAAACTATAACTTAGTCCCGAAATTATAATCACTGCGGAACCTAATTTTCCCTTCCAATCAAGAGAAATTGAACTTTATCCGATAGTGCCTCTTTCATTTCAATCTCAACCAAAGGTGAACTTGTTGTTCCTGCTCCTAGAATTCAATGACATCCATGCCCTCTGTAACCGGTTCCTTGTCAAACGCGGTTGGACTCGGTGACTGGAAAAAACATGCCCCTTTATCATCTTCTCTCTGTGAGTCTCTCTCTGCATTCATTTTCATTAGGGTCTTCACACACACCATCAAAATGGCAACTTTTGGCCTTGTTGGCAGTTTCCCCTTTTCTTTTTTTGCATGCTTGGGTTTTGGGGTTTCAGTTTGTTGGTCTAAATTGTGCCCTTTTTTGCTTGAGTATGTCTCATGAGGTTTATTTATCTGTGTTTTTTTTGGTGGGTGGGTCTTGTTTGTATTGATGTGGGAGTCATGAACAATGGGGGCAGGACAGTCTCTTTTGTTTATTTTGTTGAGAATGAAGTTATTTTGAAATTATGTAAATAAATCATGGGTGGTTGAGAGCTTAGTGGGGATTCAGTCAAAGAGATTTATTATTATTTTTTAAATCAGAACACTGGAATGACTTGATTCCAAAATTGACAGCCTTGTTTTAAAGAGAAAAAAAAATATATGCTTACTTTTATAGTATAGCTATGGATTTGAACATTGTAATAGGCAAGATTGAGAACTGGGTTATGTAAGTTGAATCCATATTTTGCTTTTGATTCACACGATTTGTTTGTTATCCAAAAGTTACTAATCGTTGGCTGTTGTGGAACAGGTCAACTAAACTCGAGTTCAAATATAGTTGACATGAAGATATTATCTCGATGTGGTTGTAGGAAAGTTGGACATGGCCAAAGATGTTTCCGATTGTATGCCCTATTTGGAGGGAAAAAGGACAATAATGGGAAAAGTGATGATGCTCCTTCTAAGGTTAGTTTTCTCATGCAGTCAATGTCATTATAGTCACAGGATCACATATTTGTTTTTAATTTATCAATCTTTCTCCTTGGGTTACTTATGTCCTATGGTTGACAAACATAATTATGCTCTTTGTGATATTTATTTAACATAAGCATTATAATCATGAGGTGCAGCCACACCATTTTGATGCTGTCCATGTGTTGGACACATATCCTAAATGACGCTTGTACGATACTCTAACAATACTTGAGTTGTACTTGTAAATGATTAGTTCTACCATGACAAGTTTGTGTAGGATACTCCTTACATAAACCTGCCCATTCATAAGAAATAGAATCCAAGTATCGATGTATAATTTCTCCTTTGATTTATGAACATAATTTATTCTCAACAAAACTAAACAAATGGCTGAGGTTTAAACACAGAACATTGCACTGCCCCATTGTTCATCACTCCCATTGTCATCACTCTCATTGTTCATCACTGCCCCATTGATCATTGTCCTTAAGTGGTTACAAGTTTGCAAATAGATGCATTTTCCTGATGCCAAAAATAGTTTTGAAAACATAAAATCATCAACTATTGTAACATTTCAGCCATCAACATGGATTTGAGTGAATCACCAATTTAGTCTCAAATTCTAGAAATCCATTAAATTAGTCCTTGACATTAATAAAATAACAAACTAGTCCTCAAATTTGAAAACAATTCACCAAGTTAGTCCTCTAACATTGACCTTGTAACCCCGTTAGGAGTAGCCACTTAGGCCATGGATGAGCTTGCTAGAGTCTCGAATCTCCAATGCATACTTACCCCATCGACTCTATTAGACCCCTTTGTAGTACTTCTTCTCTTTGTTTAGATCATACATTACAAAGTGATGTCTTGTCACGTTTATCATCCACATCACAGTTTAATGTTAGTGAATGAATCACACATGAAAGTAGTTTTAAATGTTTTGTTGGTCTTAGAAGCTTTCATCCCGAATAAAACACCTTATTTAATGAATCTTATAATGATCCATTTGGGCCTATGCATAACCTACAGCACCATTAGCAAAACCATGTATTGCTTGTCCATTTTCTAATGCATATTTTGCTTTAGAAGCAGTATAGGATTCCAAACCCTTCTTCCTTGGTCATTCACACAAAATGTTACAACTGTTTTGACCTCTGTTCCTTTAACATTACAAGTCTCTGCCTGGTATTACTTGAAGAGAATCTTTTTTATAATTAGACTCGCTTTTATTTTGCTTGAGCTAGCTCCGTAAGATCTAATAAAATAAGTGATGTGTTATAATCCAAATTATATCTCATAGTTTACTAAACTTACATAGTATGAAATTGCATTCATTTCTTATGCATTTATTTGATTTTTGATACTATAGGAGTTAAAAAAGTAGATCTAAAGAACGTTGGTTAGATTATATTAGTAACAAGTAAACCCTTTGTACATAAAAAGTCCCAAGATTTTTTTTGAACAAGATAACAATTATAAGGGTTGAGACCACTGAGAAAGCATTATCAACTTTAAAAGCCTACTCGGGTATATTGAGTGTATACTAATTTACTTAATAATAATTTAATTTTTTTTATTTCAATAACTAACTATATCTTTGTAAAAAAGAGAATTGGATTTATTTTCTTACATAGAATCTTCATATATGTGTGGACAACACATACACTTTGTGTGTGTTTTCTGTTCCTTTTCCTTCAGACGAAACAGTTCAAATCCTTGTAATTTTTATCTAATGTGTTCTTTATATTCTATTAATTTAACCATCACCTTTCATTTTTTTTTACTTTATTCCTATGTTCTTATTGCTTCTACATTAATGGTGATTGTGTGTCTTAACTGTGGCTTTCATTTATTCATCATGAATAATTATTTTGAACTTTTTTTCTTTGTTTTTGAGTATTATATGTGGGATACTTTTCTTGATACATAGAAAATAAAGAACAAAGGCCAAACTACTGTTTTTTATGGGTTATCCTCGCTGTATCCACAAGCATGAAATGATCTGTACCTTCAAGAGAGTATCCCACTTGGTGAAGGTAGCATCTCCTGCAGAGCCTTACTTTGCCAATCTATCAGCGACAAAACTTCTCTTTGAATGTGTTCTTATGTCACTTATGATACATGGAGGAGGATGTTACAATTCTCCTGATATTTGTTCTCAAAATTTTAGCTAATCCAATAGTAATTTTGACGAATATGAGTTGGTGTATACTTGCTGAAATAAATTTTTGTTGTGAACTCTTCATCTCTGATTCCAGTTCCTATTCCCATGACTTATATTACAGATTCACCCCATACCACTTTGTCCAAACTCCAAAGGATAGGAGTTGTTGGTTAAATCATATGTATATGTAGCAACTCAAATTCTAGTATATATGAAGGATCAGAAATCTACTTTCCATGTTGACATATGTGAAAGATAATCTTGAAGTCAGTATAGGCTGGGTGGTAAGGCTCTTTTATTGGCTATATATGTCTGACTTGACTTGGAGTTTAGAGAGCACAGAAATAATAAGAACTCAATTTCTTAGATTCTATTGCCGCATCAATACTAGTAGTTGGACTGGCTTTCAAATTCTAAGGGTTTCCTTCTATTAACGTAGCTCTTCTGTCTACTCAGTCCCACCCTTACTTGTTTCTGACCTTCTTAATCTGTTCAACGATTTGTTACACCATGTTTTGCTAACATGGATCTTGTTCTCACTTCACATCTACACAAGGAGGTTTTATACTTCTTTGTTACAGAACTTTATAAATATATAATCCACACATGTTGTTAGCATGTATTCTGTCAATCTGTCTAGCCATCCATTTGAGGACGATAAGATGTACTGAGGTGTAGCTTTATCTTGAAGGCCTTCTGCAAAGCATTCCAGAACATGAAAGAAGCGATGGTTTTATGATACCATGTTAAAATATGAAAATAGCAAAAAGAATACTCTTTAATTTTACAATACACAACAGTTTATATCAACATCTGATAGACTTCAACCGAAACCTCCTATTACTAAGGTATATTGTTATCTTTGGAAATTTCTGTAAGAAACGTTATTTACGGAATTTTCTGATAATAATATAAGTATGAGATTGTATAGTTGAGGATGACTTAAATGAATTAATTTGTGTTACTTATACTGATAACATGCATTTGCTTTTCAGTAGTTTATCTCATAAGAACTCCACAGTTAAACGTGTTTGACTTGGAGTAATGTTAGGATGGGTGACCTTCTAGGAAATTTCTCAAAAAATGTGCAGTAAGGACAAAACACGTTAAAAAGTAAACTATCATGAAATGACATCCTTGAGAGGCCAAATATGAGGATTGTTACATTAATAAATTTATTAAAATTAAACAAAAATTTTCTGAAAGTTATCTATGGATAAAATCCAACTTTCGTGAGTTATCTACGGAAAATTTCTGTAGATAACGTTATCTATGGAAGATTCCGTAGATAACGTTATCTATGGAAGATTCTGTAGATAACGTTACCTATGAAATTTTTCGTAGATAACGTTATCTACGACCTTATTACCTAAGATTTTTTTTCATAGATAATCCGTAGATAATTGACAGTTACCTACGGATTTTCATGATTATCTACGAAAATTTCTGTAGGTAATACTGATTTTTGTTGTAGTGTGATGTGAAATAAGATGAGATGATTTAGTTTAAAGTTGTGAAATGCATGATGATAATGTTGCTAAGTTGTTAGATGAGTGTGTAGGTTGTTATAAAGTTGTACTACGTTGTTTAAAGTTGAATATGAATAGTGATGATTGAGTTGTGAGATGTTGAGATGCATGTTGAACATAGTGTTGTAAACGAGTTGTGAAGTTAAATAGTTGTATAGAGATGATATATGAGTTGAAAAGTTATGTGCTGAAAAATATAATGAGCGGTTGTGTTGTTATTTCGAGTTGTTGAGCTAAAATGAGCTATTGTGTTGTTATTCTGAGTTGTTGAGATGAATTGAGTTGTTGTGTTGTTATTCCAAGTTGTTGAGCTGAATTGAGCTATTGTGGTGTTATTTCGAGTTGTTGAGCTGAATTATACTGTTGAGTTGTGTGTTGATTGAGCTATGATGATGAGTTGTTGATCACTAGGACTAGGGGAAATGTTTTCGAAGTTGTTCATCCCATTGTGGGGATTGAGATAGTTGTGGTGCTCTTAGAGCCCAATTTGTTGAAAAACCCTCCTCAAGAAGTTGTCTGTTGGAGTAGATGATGTGTTGTTCTCCCTAGGACTTAGTTGGTCTCGTGTATGGGCAAGGTTGAGGCACACGTGTACAAAGCAACCATGGTATAGGGGCCAGGTTGAGCTATACCGATTATAAGCGACCAATTTGAGTAATGTACGAAGTTGGAAACTTAGTTCGTAACCGAGTATCGGAAGGTTGTAGTATTTGGAGGATAGTGAGTAGGCTAATTTCATAGGTGACTTAGTTGAGCTAGCTAATGCCGTGGTAGGCCTAAACCCAGTTGTCCTATCCTGACATAATACTATACTTCCTTGTTTAAGTGGCAAAGTTTGAGAAACCGTTATCGTGTTGTGGATTGTTATCCAAATTTGTTGTTTACCTAGCAAACCCAAAAAGGTTCTGTGTTGTCGGTTCAGTAGGACCTAGCCACTTAGACTGCTCACCTTGTGTTGTAGGAGATCTCCAAATTAAAATGCGTGACGACGCATATGTGTTGATGAGTTGAACATGTGTTGATGTGATGATAATGTGTGGTTAGGTGATGATGTGTTGATGTGATGATAATGTGTGGTTAGGTGATGATGTGTTGATGTGATGATAATGTGTGGTTATGTGATGATGTGTTGTAAGTTGTAGAAAATGTGAGTAATATAAGAGTTGTTTGTTGTTTGCGTTGAATGTGATGATGATGAACCATAAGTTGTTGTGTTGTGTTGTGTGTATATATATATATATATACTATATGTTGTTTATTTTACCTAGCTTACCCTTGCATGTTTCCATGTGGTTTGA